GCACTTTTCTCCTCTTCAGCAATGCACAGAGAGATCTCGTTCTGGTGCTCCTTACACTCAGCTTCTTGTTTAATCTCAGTCATCCTACTGGAGCTAGCAATAGTACTTCTGCTCTGATGAATGCATCCCTCTTGTGTGACATCGCGGTCGAAGATAGCAGTCCAGCCGGCATGCCAATCTTCTTGTTCGATCTCAGTCGTCATCCTAGTGCACCTAGCATCTTTGTTTTCTTGAAAAACCTCTGCAGTCTTCGTGTTGCAGGTAGCACTTTTCTCCTCTTCAGCAATGCACAGAGAGATCTCGTTCTCGTGCTCCTTAGCCTCTTTTCTCACGGCATCAGTTGTCTCCTTGACGCCCTTGTTGGTTGCATACCATTTGGCGTAGTGGAGAGTAACCTTTTGAAGGTTTAGGAGGTGCTTGATACCCATATGCTCTTCACTTGCTGATCCACCGTACAACTTGAGCGCAAGATGTTCCAGCTTTGGCATGGCTCCTTCCTCAAAGATCACCCTTGGCATTCGGCAATCAACATAGAAACTCTCAACTTTTGCAAACCCCTCACGGCTGATGCATATCATTTTTGTTGGGAGTACTGCAAACCGCACGATGAGGTTCTGCAATCTAGGCAGCTCTCGGAGTATCTTCAGATCATCCTCCTCTAGCTTGCAGACCCTGATATCCAGTATACCAATAAAGAGATGCCCTGCAATAACAGTCGGAACCTTCAATGATGATCTTACCACAGTAAGTTTCTTCCGGCAGATCAGATATTTGTACTTCGTTGATGACTGTAGTGCGTTCAATCTGAAATCACTACAAACCACCAGGGATCTCAGCTTGGTTGACTTCTCAAGGGAAAACAACAAAGCATCATTCATTCTTGTGTCTTCCAACTCGTCACTTAACACTACTGCAATCTCTTTGAGATGCGGGAGCTCAACAAGCTCCTTCAGAGAGGATAGCGAACATTTCCTCAAATCAATGGTGCCCAGTTGCTCCAGTGATATCATCTTCCCAAATCCGTCAGGTAACTTCACTCCTTCACAGGATTCACTGTCACCAATAAGCAAATGGACCAGCCTTGTGAGCTGGACAATTTCATCAGGTAAATCCTTGACTCGTGACTTCCTTGCATCTAGAGTCTTCAGATGCTGTAACTTGCCAATATCTGCTGGGAGCTGGGTGATTTGAGTCTCTCCTACATCAAGCCCTTCCAAATACTGTAGGTTACCTACTTGTGGTGGGAGCTCTGTGATATCTGTCTTTGCAAGGCACAAGTGCTTCAGCAGGACCATACTGCATATGTACTCCACATCAGCCCTCGCAATACTCAAGCAGCCTTCTAAATCTAAAACTCGTGCACCCTTAAAATGCCTAAGAAGAAATTGGTTTGCATGACCAAAAACAGTTAAGGAGCGAACACCACCATCAAAGGCCATACTTGATAAATTAATTAGATTTTCTGAATCAGGACATTCAATAGAGAGGTTGCGGAAGTTCATACGATGCACACTTGAAATTTCTTTGTCATCAAACACAGCGGCGAACTTCTCCGCTTTGGATATGGCTTTAAGGATATCGTGCATCATAGGGTGGATATGGTAGGTTATTACCTCACTATTGCTGTTGTATTTCAGGGGCTGAATAACATTATTATTCACGAGGTCGTCCAGGAACTGGCTTGCTACCTCCTCCGGACTATGGTGCCAACTAATAACAAGCCCTTCCATAATCCATTTCTTCACCATCCGATCTCTTTCAATTGGGGGACCCCCAGGGAATATGCTCAAGTACAATAAGCAAGTCTTCAGATGCGGTGGAAGATGAGAGTAGCTTAAGGATACTATGCTTTGCATCTCCTTCCAACTGCTATTCTCCAATAGACTTGAGCAATTTGACTTGAGTAAGACATGCCATTCATTATTTGATTTCATCCACTGATCTCCAGCAAAAACAGAAGCCATAGCAATGATTGCTAAAGGTACCCCACCACATTTCTTCAAGATATCACTAGATGCTTGTTCGAATTCGTGAGTGCATCCACTGACAGATCCAAATATTCTGTCATACAAGAGACTTTTGGAGTCGTCATCAGACAGGGGTTTCATTTGACAAATAAAATCATTGCTGGACGAGGAACAAGCTGTAGATACACCAACTATGCGGGTTGTAGTGATTATTCGACTGCCATGATTGTTCTCGTCAGAGAAAGCAGACTTGATACTTCCCCACAGATTTTCATTCCATATGTCATCTATCACGACAAGGTACCTGTGTACCAATTGTGAGAACATCAGATAAATTTCGACTCGAAAGAGAATACATGCAAAAATAAAGATTCCACTTGAAAGGAATAGGGAAAAGGATCCAGAGCAGAATGCAGTTGAAACTATGGGATTAATAGTCTTGTATACGATGATGATTTCAGACTAAAGGTAGGTGAACACATAAATTGCTGAATCAGAACCATGCAGCAATATATTTGGGGTTAATTTGATATATGTTACTTCCAACTTTGCGTATTTGAAAAATGCCACTGCAAAAAGAAAACTTACGAAAAATGCCACAGCACACCTGTTACAGCCTGTTTCGTTGGAGGGATTTAGCAGTAGGGAATGAGAATTTAAGGGTACGAGACATATAATCCATTCTTTGGTTGGGGGTCACGGACTTGAGGAAGGAAGGCGAAAGGGAGTTAAGGAGGCCAATTCCCATGCATAAATTTACATAGGATGTTGCTTAGTCTCAAATTCTATTCACTAATTCTCACCACACACCGAACATGGGATTGGTACTAAAAATCAACTTCCCATGCCTAATCCTCTACTAAACTATGAATTGCATGCCACAGCCAAAACGAAAATCACTGACCAGCGTAAGTTTGGCAAGCAATGCGTACCTCTTATCCTTAAGGATTTCCTGAAGTTCTTTTATGAGCCGTTGTTCGTCCAGTGTGAAGGTATTGTTGTATCTGTTGTTCATGGTGAGCTGTGAGATTATATCCGTCAAGACCTCCTTCAAGTTAGCTTTCTGGCCGGCTATAACAAAAGCCTTGCAGTCAAAATCCATTTGGATCTTGGCATAAACTGCCTTGACCAAAGTGGTTTTGCCCAATCCTCCAAATCCAACAATACAGACCGTCTTCAACTTTTTATTGGAGACATTGTCCCGATCTGATAGTAACTTCATGACCTCCTTAACTTTTTCCCCATCAATGCCGACGAGATCTTGCCCTCTTTTGCGGAATGCCAAAAGACGATCAAGTTTGATAGCCCCCTTGTCCCGGTCGATGGCTGCAGACTTAGCAAGATTACCTGCCTTGTTCACTTGTTGGAAACGAACCTTGATGCGCTTGATTGCGCTGGAGATGATCTGATGGCGAGTATTGCCATTCTTGATTAAGCTTCCCATCTTCTTCATCATGCCTTCCGAGCTGAGCGTGCGCACGAATTCGTCGACGACAAGCTCCACGTCGTAGGACAGCTCCCTCGCCTTCTCTGCCCAGATCTTGACCTGCGGGTCGACCTGGTACCGCGGCACCTCCGCCACCGAGCGGAGGAATTCCTCAATCATCTCCATCTCTCTGGAGAGTCTATGGATGTCGCTGTCGATGGTCGACCGCAGCAGGAATTGCAATAGACCGACCGATGCCGCTGTTGGGATACTCTCCATATCTTTGAATTTCTTCTATACCCAGCCCTCACAGCCGTCAACTACTATTTGGATGGAGAAGTATGTGCAATCAAAGTCGTCAGCCAGGGCGGCAGTGCTGATATACTCAGCTGCATGGTCGCACAGATCTACTGTACTATGCAACACACATGGTATCACGTGCATGTGGTGAGTATGAGTTAACCACCGGCATAATGTTGGCTCTTAGTTCGAGACTTGTGTTTTTTGTTGGAAAAGCAGGATGACCCCGACCTCTGCTGTGGAAGGATTATTTGGTGCAAGACAACTGTATTTACCTCAAGGGTGCCCATTTATATATAACACGTACATGGGCAGTTTCGTCCACGGTTAGAATCCTAACTACAGAGTACAAACTTGGGTTACAATCGGGACAACTATGCCGAATACATGTACGTGTACACACAAAATAAATACAATCATCCGTCATCATCTGCATAGAACTATGCACGCAGTCATTTTATTAATTATTCAACAAAATCATACAAAGTAATATATCAATAAGTCTGCATCCATTATCTTGGCAACATCTGTCGCTACTTCTATCAACTTGATGAAAGGGACGCACATGGTCGGGGCCACCTGTCCAGACCTCACACCAAAGCCCAACCCCACATGGCCGGGACCGCCTGCCCAGACAACACACCAAAGCCCAACCATAGATTGCCGGGTCTGGGATACATACCGGTCTAGCGCACTCTCAGCGGGTACCGCATGCGCATGCAGGGGACGCTGCCACCGTCTTTGACCGATCCATCTTCAGACCAAGTACCAATGCATCGACCTTGTCAGGCCTGTTGTCGACACCACCACAGCACCAGATAACGCCACCTTCGTACGCTCGTCCATCGTCACACATCCGTCGCCCAGACCGTGCAACGTCATGCTGCCGAGACTCCATGTCATCGATGCGTCAC